AAATGTTTTGAGAATGATGAAGGCAATGGATGTACAAATGTGCTTTACACAATTGATGTATGTATGGATTGTGATAAGAGTTGTATGAGCCCCTAATAAAATGATTAAAAAAACATTAGCTAAACAGAGAAAAAAATTCACTCCGTAAACTTTCCAATAAATAGATGAAATAAAGTGAGCTTAGGTAATACTGTAATTTTTTCCCTTTTTCTCAAAACATTTTTAAAAAATTTAAACCATTATTTTATAATGATATGAGAGTGAATTTTCAAATATGTCACACATTTTAATTGTTCAATCTTATTAAGAAGAGTGTGTGATCGCCACAATCAATTTCAGAATATTTTTTCTTTCTTGTGCTCATTGTTTTTAGCTCCCCAGGGAAAGAGGGACCAGATTTAAGCTAGTGCCAGAAGAATGCAGCGGGCTGGCAAGGAGTAGGGAGCCAATTAAGGTGCCTGAGCACTCGGCCCCCATACCAGCTACTTGGACAACTGCCCATCCCCCTAGAAGAATTTATTTGCTAGGACAGCACTGAAGCTGCAGCTAGGGGAGAGGGAGCACATGGAAGCAAATGAAGGGGGAGGAAGAGAGAGTGGAGCACATCCTGACCCACCTGGCCTGGAGGATGATATCCACGCTCTGACAGTCAATGTACAGAGTGGACAATATGGCTGATCCCACTATGAGGTATGCCGTCCCTTGCTGGTCCAGGGACCTAAGGGTGACAACACTGGAGACTCAGTGTCAGGAATGGCCCGGACTGACCCAGCGACACCGAGACAAACCACTAAAGGCGTGCTGCAGAGCAACCATGGGAGCAGAGCAGAGAGCCCCCGAGGGAGTACAAAGGACAGACTCTGGGGCCAGAGCATGGTACCCCATCGGACCTGACTGAAGGACACGCCTAGAGATCAAAAATCAGACCTTGATCTATTTACAGGGTTTTTTTTCTTTAAAGTTTTTTCTTTTAATTCATTGATTCTTTTATGGGTCATTGGTTTTCTTTTTGTTGTCATCGCTGTGTTCTCATTCATCGCCTATCTTGCTATGCCTTGATTTGTGGTGTATATTATTATCTCTACAGATCTATCTAGATAAGATAGGCTGGATGAATAGTCTGGAGGAGAAAACAACGGGACCAATGGTTCCGGGGGGACACGGGAGAAAGGGTGGTGGGGGTAAGTTGGTGGTGCTGACCAACCCAGGGACAGGGGAGCAACAA